ATTTTAATAATATAGTAAATATATAATAGCTATATATTAATTATATTTAGCAAAAAATATAGGTTTCAGTAAAGTAGCAGTAGTTGAGTTATGTATTTGGCCTAGATTACGAAATAAGTCTTGGGTTCTTCTACTGTAGATTAAAGCATTGTAGATTTATTAGTACCAGTTTCAAAATCTTCCAAAAGGTTGGTATCAGCTTGTTCTTCTTGTTGGATAGCAGTCAATACAAGTGGTATTAGGTGTGAGTACTTAAATAACTGAGACAGCTCTGTAGTCTTTAGTTTAATGTTTTTCGTGATGAGTTTGAATAGCTTCTTGGTGAAACTGTTGTATAGTATAATTCATATAACTTGATATGAGTCCTTCACTTATCCCAAGAGATTTCTTTAATCAAGAGTTTATTTCTTCTTTTTCTTCTGGGAATGTTTCATCTAGGTATTTTATCATCCAGGAATTCTTCGTCTAGGAATAGAATTACTTACATCTATACTTTGGCTTGTGAGTAATTCACTTTAGGATTCTTACTCTGTACTTCCAATAAGTAAAGTATTCTGTCTTCTTTACGTGAGAGAATGTTTCTTCTCGATAGTTTTCTTTTGCAATGCTTCTTTAGTTTTCTGTTAATATTTTTAGCTTTCTACTAGAAGGTACCAAATATTATAGATAGTGTAGCCTTCTTAGTACATTATAAGTAACAGCAATATAGCTATCTAATTACTTTAAAAAGCAGTGTCCAAGAGGGAGTTTCTTTAACTAATTGTAAAGACAAATTCTACTCTACAAAAGGCAGTTCATTTAAGTTTATTTAATAACAATATATTTATTGATTATAAATATTTAGAGTCAAGTACAAGAGGGGAGAGGAAGTTGAGGTCTAAACAACTAAAGGGCAAGAGGGGGAATTCTACTTGTATTTATAACTTTTAGCAAGCATCGTGTAAGCATCAGCAAAATGTCATGTAAGTAACTTGTGCAAGCATCACTTAAGCATTCGTGCAAGTAACAATTAAGTGTCACTATTAATAGTTTGGCACAGTAAGAGGCACAGTACTCAGCATAGTTTGGCACAGTTTAGTACAGTCTTTCAGCACAGTCTGACACAGTATTAGCACAGTATTTGGGAGAGTTTTGGTGCAGTATTCAGCAAAGTATTCAGCACAGTTTGGCACAGTATTCAGCACAGTTCAGCACAGTTTTAGCACAGTATTTTCTTGCTATAGCCCTTGCTTTCTCTAGATATTACATAATAACTTTAGATGTATCTTATATTATCGTGTAGCTGATATTCTTGGCTACAAAGTTACTTAAGGTTATTTTTCGCTATGATTACTTCTTGAGATACTTCACTTAGAGTAAATGTTTATAATAATTTTCTCTACTCTAAAATATCTATACTAAAATAATACAATATAAGAAATAACTAAATACTAATAAATATAACTAATAATATAACTAAAATATAATAATAAAATAATAATAAAATAATTAAAATCTATTTTATAACAATATGTAAGAAGTGAGATAAACAACTTAATCAAACAACAATATAAGCACTAAGATAACAAGTAGCAACATATAAGGTTAAATATCAGCAAGTAGTCAAGCAACAACCTGAAAAGTAAATCTTTCATATCTGACCTATCTAACCTAATCCTGCTATTTTTTTTTGCAAATTCTTCATATTCACAGCTAGCCTGCAGTATACAAATAGAAAACTACTAGCTAATTTGATACGTTACTAATCTGTTTACAAAATTTTGATTATAAGTCAGCCTGCTTTGTGCAAGTAGGAAACTATCAGCTGATACTATAAGTCACTAGTTTAATTATACATAAATTGCACTGATGTATACTATATATCTCTTTGTAAAGCAATGTAATAAAGTTTAATATCTAGCCTTATATGAACTGAAGTGCATTCAAGTTCTAACAATCATATATGAGTGAGACTTTTCAATCATACTATTTCTATTATGAAAACTATAATATAATTAGGTTAGGTTCCTTTCCATAAATTAATAATATGCCAGTCCTTTAAGTATAACAATTATAATCTGATTTGGTTATCCAGTAAAGCTATATATTATAATAAATACAAATTAGGGTTACCTGGGAATATTAGCAATATCAGCAATCTTGGCAACTTCAGTCATAAGAGCGATAAAAACTAGGAGGGATATATAAGGGATATAAGCATTAAGGAGAATAGAAATAATATAGGTATTATAACTCATATAGACTATATAGAGAATAATAGTAATATAGTCTCTGAATGTAAATAAAGAATTGTATTATAAATAAAGGCCGTATTGACCCTTTAAGACAAGAAGGAATATCTCCTTTACTTTATAAAAATAAGTTTCTAATATCTAAACTAATAAATTCACTAAAACCCTAATCACAGAACCTGTTGTATTAAATAAACCCTTCTAATATATATTGAAACCCTGTTCAGCTGTTATATTATAATATACCAGGATCAGCTATGGTTTATTTGTTTCTAACTATCCAAAGTAGTGTAATAGTTGTAGTTGTTTTATTGATCTAATTACCTAAAGTAGTGTAGTAATTGAGGATAAAATTAGAAAAAAATAAATACAGAAGAAACTTAAGATATAACAAAGGAAGTACTTACTTGCAGACAACCAAACCACTCACCAAATCTAACATGCCTCTAACAACTAAGCTACTCATAAGTCTAGTAGATTAGTGTTGTTGAGTATTGAGAGAGAAGGATGACTAATTACATTTGGTGATGACTATGAGATAGAACAGTAAACCTGAAACATAACTATATTAAAAGAGAAAATAATAAGTGAGATATAAGGAATACATTAAATAATAGTGACAGTTGGCAAAAACAAGTGAGATATAGAACTTTACTCAAGGCTAAGCCCAGACACAAAGAGGACATATCGAATAAACTCACACTAAAAATAATCTATAAAGATTCAAGACTATTCAAAAAGTATATTACTCTACAAAAAGAAACAAATTTAATAAAGAAGGAATGCCTAATAAATAGATTAATAGATGAACTCGTAGGAACAGAAAATCACTGAGAAATAATCCTGTAAAAAAGAGACTACCTGATAACCAAATTAAGTACAAAAATAAACAATTAAACATTGTGTACTTACCTTTATATATAAATATTTACTTTAGTCCAATCTCTTGAAATAAAGAGCCTGAAAGAAATAGGTATAAGAAAGTAACAGTGTTCGAAATTCTTGATACCTACTATAATATTCAAGAAATATCAGGTGATAACAATGAAAGAAAAAATCTAAAACAAAAACAAGATGTTGAATTAGATGCTAAAATAGCATTAGAAAAGTTGATCAATAGTTACCTAAAAACTCTAAAGACCTGGATGCATGAACCAAATAAATCTGAAGAACCAAAACCTGCTAAATCAAATGAATTCAAAGCATCTATTTATTATCCAAAAGCTGCAGAGACAAGTCATCTGAATCAGATATACATGGTTGGATCTCATTATAAAAAAGAAATCAAAGTTAAAAAGAATGAAAATAAAGGAATTAAAGATGAAAATGAAGTGTTTAGAAGGCCTTCCAAGACTGCTGAAGAAAAATTAGAATCTAATAATAATAATAATAAAATGATCTTCAAAGGTGATAATAAGAATATAAGAAGATTAAAAAAACAAGATCTAGACTATGTCTGTAATAATTGGATAAACAAAGTAAGAGACTTTATAAGGATGAACTAGAAAGAACTGAAAATAGAAAGGTCACACCTATCTGAACTCAAAAAACTTTCTATACCAAAACTGAAGACCAAAACAGAAGAACTATCTATGATGAAGCAAAAGAGAGAAGAAATATTAAAAACTGAAGCTAAACTTGAAAGACCTACAAAAGAAACAAATATGAGAAGAGTAAAAATAATAATTAGAGTTGAAAAAGAAATTGGAGTTGCTGTTAATAAATGCAAAATGCTAAGATATACAAATATAATAGTCTAAAGAATCGATGCTGAGAGGGCGAATAAAAAGAAGGTGTTTAAACAGCATTTGAACTTTGCTAAAAATGGTGATAAAAATAAGACAAATGAATTAGACCAAAAAGAAATTCTTGAAGAAACATCAATGCCTATCAAACCAGAACCACTACCAAGAAAAGAAAAAGATGACGAAAAAGAATCTAAAGATAAAAATCAGAATAAAGAAATTAGTAAAGACAAACAAGAATGAAAAGACAAAGAAAGTAAAGAACACTTATCCTACGAAACTAATCCAGAATAGAACCCTACTATGAAAAATTAATTAAAGTTAGAATATCTAAAGTCTTTATAGATCTTATATAATAAAGTTCAAGAGAAGAAAGTCATCAAGTTTGTTTATAAGGCTTTGTCTATTGCTATGTTATGGTTTAACTCCTGTGCTTACTTAGTAATTTATGCATAGTATGCATAAACTAAGCAGAGGAGAATGTGAAAACCATAATGTGACCAGGTCAGGTTTCTCTCTGTAAATTAATCATACCCCAGTCCTTTAAGTACAACAATTATAATCTGGTTTGGTTACTCAGTAAAGCCACATACTACAGTAAATACAAATTAAGGTTACCTGGAAACATCAGCAACATCAGCAACATTGGCAACTTTGGTCATGGGAGTGATAAATACCAGAAGGGATATGTAGGGGATATAAGCATTAAGGAGAATAGAAATTATATAGGCATTATAACTCATATAGACCACATAGAGAATAATGGCAATGTAGTCTCCGAATGTAAATAAAGAATTGTATTATAAATAAAGGCCGTGTTGGCCCTTTGAGACGAGAAGGAATGTCTCCTTTACTTTATAAAAATAAGTTCCTAATACCTAAACTAATAAATTCGCTAAAACCCCTAATCACTGAACCCGTTGTATTAAATAAACCCCCCGATATATATTGAAACCCTGTCCGGCTGTTGTATCCTAACGTACCAGGATCAGCCTTGGTTTATTCGTTTCCAACTATCCGAAGTAGTGTGATAGTTGTGGTTGTTTCGTTGATCCAATTACCCAAAGTAGTGTGGTAATTGAGGATAGAATTAGTAAAGAATAGATACAGAAGAAACCTAAGACATAACAAAGGAAGTACTTACCTGCGGACAACCAAACCACTCACCAAATCTAACACGCCTCTAACGACTAAGCTGCCCGTAGGTCCAGTAGATTAGTGTTGTTGAGTATCGAGAGAGAAGGACCGACCAATCACACTACTCACAAGTTGTGTATATATGATATTTTGAATAAGTATAGCATGTCAATATTTTGTGGAATCTGTTTACATTCCCTGAATTGAACTAATACTCCGTTTCAATAAGCTCTAGATATTTTTTCAAATAAAATTTATAATATTCATCAAATAAAACAAATTAGCGCAGATGTATATTTCGGAACCTTCGCCAGGTTTCGATTTCGCCAGATTTCGGACATTTCGCCAGGTTTCGGACATTTCGCCAGTTTCGGAATTATCGGATTTCACGTCTTTGGGCGAAACATGTTTCGCCCTATTTCGAAAATTTCGCCGAACCCTAGTATGGTAATTAAAGGTAAATTGCCAATTAAAGTTTATATTGAAGTCAAGATATCTTGATTAAATTCGCAAAAGTCATATTTAGGTTGAAAGGTGAAATAAATATTTGAAATTCTCTTACGGTAATAGTATATAAGGCTAAAATCAGGTCTTAATCTGTGCGAAAAAAAATATATATTATTTAAGTCGAAAGTGCCTGTTATAAAATGTTATATTATGTCGAATGTTCAAAATAATGTAAATATAAAGTTGGCCACCAAAGTTTATTTGAAAAAGTTTATAGTTTATTCCTTTAAATTACAGAAACATTAAATAAAGCTTTAATATTTCCGTGTGCTTCTTTCAATAAAATCTATCAATTCTGCTGTTAGTAAAAACAAATTATTATTACACTTTGAATTTATAATCAAATTCTGCGAAATAATTTGTGTAATTTATGAAAATTACGAAAAATTATATTTTATGAAACGTCGCACCATTTACGCTGACATAATTTAATAAATTTCAAAGATATCAAAAACAAACGGATGTGTCTCTCATTTAAAAATTAATGCAATTAGAAACGTCCTTCGCAGAAAAAAATGAATGCAAACGAATTATACGAACTAGGAGAAAAATATTATTACGGAACTGGTGTCGAAAAAAATGAACATAAGGCATTCATTTATTATAAAAATTCTGCTGATATGGGTACGTAATGTTAATGGAATATGTAGTGTTGGTTATTTTTATGAAAATGGAATTGAAATTGAAAAGGATGAACATAAGGCATTCATTTATTATCAAAAATCTGCTGATATGGGTCATGCCCAAGGAACAAATAATCTTGGTAGTTGTTATGCAAAAGGAATTGGAATTGAAAAGGATGAACATAAGGCATTCATTTATTATCAAAAATCTGCTGATATTGGTCATGCCGAAGGAACAAATAATGTTGGTTATTGTTATCAAAATGGAATTGGAGTTGAAAAGGATATCCTTAAGGCATTCATTTATTATCAACAATCTGCTGATATGGGTCACATTAAAGGAACATATAATGTTGGCTATTGTTATCGTCATGGAATTGGAGTTGAAAAGGATGAACATAAAGCATTCATTTATTATCAAAAATCTGCTGATATGGGTCATGCTAATGGAATACGTCAAGTTGGTTATTGTTATCAAAATGGAATCGGAGTAGAAAAGGATGAGCATAGGGCATTCAATTATTATCAAAAATCAGCTGATGTGGGTTATGCTAGTGGAACATGTAATGTTGGTTATTGCTATCTCAATGGAATTGGAGTCGAAAAGGATGAACATAAGGCATTCATTTATTATCAAAAATCCGCTGATATGGGTCATGCTAGTGGAACATGTCAAGCCGGCTATTGTTATCAAAGTGGAATTGGAGTTGAAAAGGATGCCCATAAGGCATTCATTTATTATCAAAAATCTGCTGATATGGGTCATGCCGAAGGAACAAATAATGTTGGTTACTGTTATTATCATGGAATTGGAGTTGAAAAGGATGTCCATAAGGCATTCATTTATTATCAAAAATCTGCTGATATGGGTCACATTAAAGGAACAAATAATGTTGGTTACTGTTATTATCATGGAATTGGAGTTAAAAAGGATGCCCATAAGGCATTCATTTATTATCAAAAATCTGCTGATATGGGACATGCTATTGGTGCATATAACGTTGGTGAATGTTATCAAAATGGAATTGGAGTTGAAAAGGATATACATAAGGCATTTACTTATTATCAAAAATCTGCTAATATGGGCAATGCTAGTGGAATGTCACAAGTTGGTTATTGTTATCGAAATGGAATTGGCGTAATAAGAGATTTACAAAAAGCTAACTATTGGTATGAAAGGTAAATAACTATTTTTTTTAATAGTATTTTTTTTTTCTTTTTTTTTTTTTTATTGTGCATTTACTTAAAAAATTCGCATATTAATTAATCAATAGAGAGAAAAATTTAGCATCAGGTAATTCATTGTAATTCAATTTATAAATTACAAGCATCGGAAATTATAGTAAAATGTGGCGCGGATTATTTTTCTTTCAAAGTAAAACTTTCTTTGATTCTATTCTTTTACTGTAGAAATAAGTAGGATTTTGGTTTCTAATAACGATAATATTGCTCAAATCGGTCAAATAAATCGTAAAAAAAAAAAAAAAAAAAACTTATATTACAACCTATTGTATATTTTACTTAGAAAAAAATTACATCAAATTGAAGAAACATATTTAATCTCTCAATCATTAGTTAACATGTGTTACTTTTTATATAGAAGTTATTTAGATGACTTAAAAATTACTAAATAATTATGATACGATTAACAAAACTTTCATTTATCTATCAGTTACAGAAGAATGGGTACTTAAAAGTTCAGATATTGAAGATGATCTGAAAAAAATATTGATTGAAAATAAATATTCATTGTCATGGATTCCTTATAACGAATTTAAAGATATTCAAGAGATAGGAGAAGGTGGATTTGCAACTGCATATTTTGCTAGATGGTATGATAAAAGTCAAAATAAAAACGGACCTGTTGCACTTAAATTACTTCACAACTCAAATATCTGTAATGAAGAATTCATAAAAGAGGTGAATTTTTGATTAAAATAATTATGTTATTATTGTTATTTTTAATTTAAAAAATTTTTCATTAATAATAAGTTAAAGGCATACTGCGATATTGGTCTTAAAAATCCAACCTTTTTAAAATGTTTTGGACTATCAAGACACGAAATTTCTAAAGATTATATAATTGTTATGAAATATGCCCCAAGGGGATCTTTACGTAAAAATCTTCACGATATAACAAAACTGGAATGGGAAAGAAAATTAAATCTTTTAGTTTGCATTGCATCAGACCTTAAAATAATTCATTCTCAAGACCTCATTCACCGAGATTTGCATAGTGGAAATATACTACAAGATGATTTGCATTGTGCATATATTGCCGATTTAGGACTTTCAATATCTGCTAATATAAATTTAAAATCCGAACATAATGAAATTTGTGGAGTTTTATCGTATATTGCCCCTGAAATTTTAAATCGACAACCATTTACTAAAGCATCAGATATTTACTCTTTTGGAATAATTATGTGGGAAATTTTACATGGGAGATCTGTCATCTTTGAACAAAAATCTAAATTACAATTACAAATACAAATATGTGATGGTTTGCGGCCATATGTCTTTGAAGGCACAGCTTTATGCTATGTAGATCTTATGAAAAGATGTTGGGATAAAATGCCAGAAAATCGACCATCAGCTGCTGACATTTATGATATTTTTCTTGAATGGCAAACTAATAAAAATATTTTATTAGAATTATCCGAGTATGATAAGAAAATACAAAGTATTACATTCGAAAATATGCAAACATACAAAACAAGTTATAAAAGCAAACTTATTACATATAATGGTAAATATATATTTATTTATTAATAAATTTTATTAATTCTTCTACTTTATATAATATTATTTTACAATTTTTTTATAGATAGTAAATTACTTGATCTGAAAATAAATGATTAAAAATCAAAAATAAATCCATTGAAATTAATGAGTAGGAATTAATAGGAGGTTTCAAAATTAGCCTATTTCAAAAATAAGTAAGGGTTTAAAAAATCGAATATACATATGTTCGGTATGGTACGGTAGTTTGGTTGATACTGTATGATCTTGTTATATCGATATAGTACATTATATATATATGATTTGTATAGTGATAATCAATGTAGTACATACATATTTTATCATCATAATATAAGCGATAGCAGCTAATCATATGATTTTTATTATCATTATTACATAAAAAAAATATTAACGATTGTTAAATACGTATTAATGACCCAATATGTATTAAATAAAGTAGCTGCGTGACGCTGTGCCATCGCGCTAAAACCAGGAACGTAAATTTGGATTTTAAAATCTCGTGATAATGAAAATAAGTAAGATTTCTAAATAGGAATTTTATTATGTTGAAACATATATTTGAAAGTACGAGAGTCTTCTTTGATTAAATTTTGAAATTTCAAATATAAGAAAACAAAATATATAGATTTGTATATGTAGTAGGGCGCATGAACCCAACATTTATTGAATTGCAGATGCA